CTTTTTTTCAGAAGAAAATATCTAATGGATAATAAGACAGTCTCTTCCCAAAGAGTACATAATAAGATAAACAGACTTAAATAGACTTTAATACCCATGCAACTATTTAATTGGACTGCATATGCACATAAAGGAGATCATGCACATGGCATTCACAGTCTAAACATGAAGGTTTAGACTTCCCCAGCTACCTACAACAAATCCCAGCAGATGATTTACCAGCATGTGTCCACTTCTGTCAGCTGCAAACATTCACCTTCATAGGTCTGGCTCCTTCTTTCAATTTTGACTCCATCTCAAGGTCTTTCAAGATAATGAAGCAGCAAATGACTGGTTGCCTTGAGGTTTGTGCCCAGAGCAGGACTGACTTCAGGATCCACTAGTGACAACTTTTGACCATGAGGAAAGGATATTCTACATCCACTGCAGCTTATTCCCTTAACGCCCCAGGGCACTGTGCTGACACGGCAGCCAGACAGCCAGGCCCACCTCCTGGGCCAGTCAGACCAGAGCATTCAGTTCACACCACCTCTTAAATCCAGAGCTGCCAGGCCACACCAGCTGAAAGCTCTGTGAAGAGAAGAAAGGCATGAGATGGTACATTGTCTTCCCCAAAGAGGCCTGGAGTTTTGACTACGAATTATCAGAGTCATTTAGACTTCTCAAGATTTTTTCTAGACTACAGAGTCAATAATATTTATAGTGATTTTTGACAGATATTCCTATAGGTCCAAGCATCACAGCCCTTGTGCCCTCATTCAGAAGTCACAATTCACATGATCATTACCAATTGTAAAATACACCAGTTCCACCAGTGCCAACTGAAGCAGAACCTCCTGCCTTTGGGTCTACTTTTTAAGTTGTGTGGCTCCACTAGAGGACTTATCCTTTAAAGGTGCTAGGTAAGTCAGGCTCAGATGGACATTATCTCAGGAGTCTTTTCCATCTGAAAGTTCTTGACCAGATGTTTGAGTGAAAATGCAAAGTTGACATCAAAGTATGGAAAACACTTTTTTCCCTTCTGTCTCACAAATAAGCAGGGCCTTCTGTTTTGGAGAGCTGACACTGCCCCCATCCAAACAAGTGACACAGTGGACTTAAGGTCAGTATAAGACAGCGGTAACCTGGGGAATGAAAGCTCACCAGCAGAAGGACAGACAGTGATCCTACCTGCCCACAAGGGAAATGACTGCCCTACCCCCCACGCTCCCCCTTGGTGCTTTGACTCACCCAGGAGTTGCCACACAGCTGCTCTAGCTTCTGGGAAGATCTTCACAATCTGCACAGAGGATCCTGGCTTGCTGCCTTGTCCCTGAAGTGCCCAGTGCTCCCCTACAGAAGGAAACTCCAAAGCTGCTCCTTGAAAGGAGCTTTTCCTCTTACATCCATGCCAGCAGCCCCCTTTGGGGCTCGGAGCACCGCGAGCGCCTGTGCTCTGGCTGCTCTGAGCCTGCAGCTGCTCCTTTGAAGTGCTCAGCCTTTGGGGAGCATCCTGGGGCACTGCTGAGCTGCACAGCCAGGCAACAACTGCTGCAGCTCAGACAAGCATATGCTCCAGAGGAGGAGACACACTCTGGATGAGGGATGAGCAAAGTTTTGATCACTGATAAAGCAAAGGGGAAAGGTTTTGGAAGGAACTCAAGAAATGCTGAGGATACAGGAGGCTTCAAAGCAAAAATAAGAGCAATCATCTTGGCTCTGATGGTGTAAACTATATAAGATAGTTAATAATCCAGCTGACAAGTTATTGACAATTAGAATAAATATCCATAGTCATGGTTCCAAGAGCCAGGGTCTCACATGAACAGGAGCTCAGTAGCCAGTGAGCAGGAGGTGCAATGGTAGAAACATCAGGTCCACTGTCCAGGGATGATGGAGCCACATCACCACCACATACTGTACCAGCAGCACCCAGCAGTGCTAATGACCTCCCTGCACAGGAGGCTGGTGGCATGACAGGCCCTCAGAGTGCAAAATAATAACCTAATGTTACTTGACCGTTGAAAAGCCAGATAAATGTATGTTACTGTGAAACCTCTTAGGAATTCCTGAGAGTCTTCCCTTCCCTCAAAGTGGATACAGCTGTGCTGGATGAGTGGCACCCAATCACTCCTCAAGGACCATTTGTAACACAACCACCAGGAGCTGCATCTTTGAACTGTGGGCCTGACTTGGCAGTTGGCACAGGCTGCTGTCACCAGGCCCCCTCCAGCTGAAGTCAGTGGCAGTAGGATAGAGTTAGCACAGAAAACGAAAAAAAAACAGGAAAAAGAAAGAAAGCACCTGCCTGCTGCAGCAAGCTGACTAAAGGAGAAACACAACAGTCACTGGTCAGAGATGTTCCCTCTCCTTCAGTCCTGACAGAGCAAACACGTCTCTCTGCAGGCTGTGAGCAGCTGCCAGCCACTCACAGCCACCTCAGTGCCCCTTGGCAACAGGTACACACAGATATGCTGCTCTTAAACTACCAGTCACCCGAGGCCAGGAGCTATGCAGAAAGTTTGAGTACAGATTAACAGGCTCATAACTTTGCTTAAAAGTATGCTATACACTGGGGAGGCTGGGCCAGCTGCTACAACAGCCTCTTAGTAGGGCTCCTGTCCATTAAAGAAAGAATAATTCACAAGAAGCGGCTTCAGAGTGGATCAAAGAACAAAGGAGAGAGGGGAAATGATAATTTTGAAAAAGATGTGCACAAACAACACATTTGGGCAACTGTGGATTGGTAAGTGCTATTTCCCCTCCCACTCTCCAGTTGAGCTGCAGCATCTGTCTAGTCTGAGCAGCATAAATATCACTTGGGTACTGACTATGCCACCTCCTGTACAACTCTGGGTAAATACTACACATGAGATACAAAAAGAAACATACCTTGATTTAAAAAAAACAACACAGTGTACACCTGGTGTTTACTGACCACCTGCACTAATTTGTCTGCTCACTCCTGTTTTATAGCATGAAATCACAAAATCAACCAGGTTGGAAAAAGACCTCTGAGATCATCAAGTCCAACCTATGACTGAACACCATTGTGCCAACCAGACCATGGCACTAAGTGCCACATACAGTCTTTTCTTAAACACCTCTATAATATTCTAAATAAACCTTAAGTTGCAATGTGGGAAGACAGACTGCTGCACCACTTAGTATTTTACTGTTGATGAAGTTTTCAAGTCCACTTTTCTCACATCATTTTACCTAAACATGTCAACTGCATCCAGCATTCAGATGCACGAGTCTTTTTTCCGAATTAATGTGTCATCCACAAGCCTTTGTGATCCAGCCACGTAAGCCAAAATTAGAAAAGAAAAAGAAAAGAAACCAGCAGAGAGAAAAAGTAAGCAGGAAACCACTTGGCTTGAACCCTAGAGGGTGATGCCCCACTCTGCACTGTGTGTTCTCATTACAGAGCTCAGTTCCTGACCCCTGTGTACGAGCAGGTTCAGCGCCTTCCTTTCTGGAGCACGATGCCTGCTTTTGAACTTGAGCTGCTGAGAGAGTTTATGAACAGAGCTGTTGTTTTATTTACTCTCAATTAATCATGCTCAACTGTAAACAAAGTGTCTGTTTTAGTTCTGCTGACAATTATCCACTTGTCAACATCTCCCTCAAGTACCTTCAGCATCTGGCAACAGCACAGAACTGCTACATCAAAATGAACGTTTTGTCTCAATAAAAAGATAGACGTGTGGCAGGGTTTCATCTGTTTTCCAGCCCATCAACAGTCAAGCTACATTGCTACTGATGCAACCAGACCACTTGCTATGGAATATTTACAAAGGAGGAGGGAAGCCAAATTTTATTTATATTAGTAAGGCAGAGTCAAGGAAGAAAGTAGAGGAGAGCCCCAAAGAGCCCCAACACCTCCCCACAAAGGCAGAATGAGCCCTCCTTGCAGCCTGCCTGATGCCTCCTGTTCTGCTGGTGCACATCCAGCACCAGCTTCACCAGCCACCATGCCAAAAGCTGCAGAGTAGCACTAGCTTCTTTATTTTGTGGTGTTCAGCAAATCCCAATGCAAATGGAAACCACTTACTGGTGCTTCCCCAAATACTTTTAGTATGATAATTTTTCCACTACCTGCTCCGTGGCCTGGGCATTCTTTGGTCCCTGGAGCTCCTGTACTGGTTTGAATTTTGCCATTTTAAGCTTGTAAGATATAATTATTCCCATTAGCTCAAAATCCTTCCTGCATTTTAACACAACCTCCCTGGTGCTTAAATTGAAAGCTCCAAGGTAAACTGCAGATAGCCTGGCACCTTTTTGGGTACAATAAGGAAAAACTGGACACTCCTTTTCTTCTGAGGGGACAAAGGCAGCTTGCCAGGTAACCTCCCTGACAGGTGAGGAGGCTCCAAGGTTCTGGGCCTATGGAGAACATCACCTCCCATCTCTGAGTCACCAAAACCGTGTGCTGTGGCTCTGGTTACCTCAAATCTTTAATATTATTTGAAACTTCACCCAGCTACAGCAAAGTAAGGGGGAAATCTGGAAGCCACTCCAGCCCTGCACCTTTTCTCCACAGAACTGAGTTTTCTCCCCAGAATGAAACACTCAGGGGTGCGTGGGAGGGCCGGAGGCTCCACTGAACGGACCGACCAGAGGCAAAGCAGAGAGAGACCCCCGGGCCGGGCCGTACCTGCTCCGGGCGGCAGGTCCAGCGCTCCCAGGAATCCCGGCTGCTCCCGGCGGGATTCCCCCCGGGAAGGCGGCTCCGCGCGGGCCGCCGCGCCCTGACAAGCGCTAATCAACCTCAGCCGTGTAATTGATTCTAATGAGCTCGGCTCTGGCTCTGGAGCCGCACTCACGATCGCCCGAAGTCGGCGGTCCGGCTACCGGCCCGCGCCTCCCTGCCCGCAGCCCCGGCCCGCCGGATCTCTGTCAGCCGCCCCTTTAACCTTCTCCTCCCGCCACAATTAATTGAGATATCTTTTACACTTGATGTGTTGTAAAATTAATGCCTAATTTATGTAATTAGTCAATTAACTGTAATTCTAGCATATGGTGCCAAATGCCCAGAAGGTGTTCTTGTTTCCCAGGTACTTATTTTGATGTCATGAAATGCAGCTAATTAATTTTACATGCATATTAATTTCGGATCTATTTAGCGGCTCCCTTTGTGAAGGCAGATTTAATATTTGTCTTTCTAACCTTTTTGGGCAAATTCCGCGCTCGGTGTTGAAATGGAGGTGACTTTTAAAACACATTTCCATCGGTCTCCCTTTCCTCTGCGGAGCCTCTGCTGACACCGGGTCGATCTCTCCTGTGTGAAGATGCACAAGGGCTGATTATCTATAGCTTCCCGCACATCTATAACTGTCGCAAGATACGGCTATTGAATTTAAATCCGATTAATATTTAATATTAAACATTTCTGAGGGAATTTTTGTTTGTTTTTTGCAAAGCACAATATCCCACGGACATTTTTTTTTAAATAGCTGCTCTTAATACAATGCTCCTTGGAAAAATTATGAGAATTGAATTATCGCCTAATTAGAAAATGAGCGTAATCCTGATCGCTGGCTTCTGATGTTCGCAGTTCTCCTGACTGCGCTGAGAAACTGCACTTCGCCTCTCCCGGCCCCGGGAAGCGCTCCCGCTCCTCCCAGCAAACCGTTAAGGTTCCACTTCTGTCCCTGTCGGAAAGCGATCGCGTTTGATTTTGTCCATAATACTGGGAAAGATGAGATTATGCCTCTTCTTTCTGCAGTTTGTGCAGAGATTAAGGGGTTAATCGCATCGCGGGCTTTCCCGCTCCCCAGATGCTGAGAGAAGATTTAAGTAGAAAAAGAGATGAAACCCGTAGTCTACGCCTCAAATTCCCAGCGATACCCTTTTCCCTTTGCCGCAGCAGCACTAATTGCCGCATTACGCTCATCTCTGGGGTGAGGGGAGGTACAAACGCGCCTGGCTGAGGGTGCGGGACTCCGCGCGGTGGGGCGGGCGCGCTCCCGCTGCCCGGACCTCTCCAGCCCCGGGGAAAGGCTTTCCTGCGGAGCGGCAGGACGGGACTTGGCTCTTTGAGCCTCTACGCGAGTGCTGTGGCGTCATAAAACTTTTTATTCCCCTTTCTGGATAAATTAATGAGCAATTTAATTAATAAAATCAGAGAGTAGCGTAAGTGCTATGATAATGAAGTTAAATGAGCGCGCAGTAAAATATTCACTAATCCAGCACATTGGCAAATGCCCCCTTAATTCTGCTTAGCACTAAAAGGGTTTTGAGCACCATAATGAGATTCCTCTGTCTGCTAATTAATTGACACTCTCCTGAATATTCATATGTGCTAGCACCAATACGTTCCTAATTGCACCGTGGAATGGATCTCAGAGGAAAGTAAATCGCCATAGACTTAATTAAAATAATGTATGCCAGATCCAGCTCGCTGAAGACGAGACATTTGCCATCAAGCAGTGTAAGAAAGTGGCACCTGGTTTGTAGCGAAAAATGAGGAGAAAATCTTTATCCCTCCCAAGGTGAAGTCAGCAGGGGCTGCGAAGCGCCAGGCTGAGATCTGGAAGCGAGAGAGCTTCGCCTTCCACCGCCGCGGCCAGTGCGCGACCCGCGGAGCCCGATCGCGTTCGGGGGAGGAACCGCAGCTCGAAGGGGGGAGCGGGCTCTGCACGGCGAGGTGGGAGAAATCTGGTCAGGGATGCCCTCTACAGAAGCGTTCAGGGAAAACCGTTTGTCTCCGGCGAGGGAGAGGAGGAGGGGGAGGCAGCGAAGGAGGGAGGGAGCAGCCACATTTGTAAACTTTTCCTTGAGGGGAATCCGGTGCCTTTGAAGCTCAGTCTCTGAATGGATTGTTCTTTGCACCTCCAGACTAATACTGTGAGCTAATATTGTACATTTAAATTGTTCTGCTGTTAAAAGCGTGGCAAGTTGCGCTGAGAAATGAGTGCCTGGCGCTGCCTGGCCGCGGCCTCCATCCCGCGCAGGGGGAGCGGAGGGGGCCGCGCCCCGGGCTCGCTGGGCGGGCTGCGCCCAGGCCCGCATCCCCCGCTGCCGCTGCAAAGCGCACGTAAAGCGCTTTGCTAGGTCTTTTCCTTCCCTACCAGCTCAGGAAACGAAAAGGAAAGCTGGTTTCTTGGAAAAGACGGCTTTTAAAAAAATCACCACAGGTTAGAAACTAAAAAGAGTTTATTTGAAGACATACAAATGCATATTTATTATACACATGTAGGCATTAACAATGTAAATTACACCGCCAGCACTTGCTGGTTGTTTATTCATTAGATCTTTAGAAAATCTACATTGCCTGCAGATAGCGGGATGATAATGTGCGATACACAAGCAGTTTACCCAGGCAGCTCCGCCCGGCTCCGCGCGGGGCTCCAACAGGTCCGCGGGGCTCCGCGCCGGCCACGGGTCCCTCTCGCTACCGGGGGCGCTTCTTACGAGTGTGATTCTACCTTGACGAGAAAACGGCCGTGCCCACTGAAACCGCCTCACCCAAAATACAGCGCGAGGGTTTTACGGGTCGTGGCTCAAGAGGGAGCGAACTTAGGTGGAAACACCTCCTAGCAGAAGAAATACGAAGGGGCTCCCCTGAATGACAGCGCAGGCATCTCGCTCTCACAGCTCTAAAAGCTCTGCCGTTCGCAATACCTTTTATTCCCATGTAAAATCTTTCCTCGCCAAAAGGAGTAAAAATCCTCTATCAAATTCTATCCTCTTCGGCTGATCGAATGCTGTGTGACTACCGTATCTCTCGATAATAAAGACAGAGAAAAATATATGGGAAGAAATCGCTGCGGGGAAATCTTTTCTAAAGTTAGATCCAAAGAATCTCTTCCAGGAATGAAATATTAAAGAAGGTTAATATGGTTTTTGCTGTAGAGCTGAGGGTTGATGGGAAGACGGGAGCTGTGCGGCCGGGAGCTGAGGGTGGAGGGTGTCAACAGATGCAAGGGAGCGATGGAAGCCGCTGGACTCGGGAAGCGCAGCCAGCGCTTCTCCTGCAGCCGCCGGGCTGCCTGTCACCCCGCCCTGCCCTTCCCTGCGCTGCGGGGCGCGGTGCGGGGCATTCCCCGCAGCCTCGAGCCGGCCCTGCGGACCCCGAGGCGGGCGCTGGACCGGGCCTCGCAGCAAGGGAGGGGGCGGGCAGCCCCCCTGCTTTCCCCGGGGACACAGCCGGGAAGGCGCTGCCCCTTCCCGCGACACGGGCCCGCACTCGCGGTGTTGCGGGGGCCGGGGGCTCGGGCGGTCCCGTCCGTCCCGTCCCGTCCCGTCCCGCCGAGGAGCGGGGGCGGGGAGCGCCGCGCTCGGGAATCGTCCCTTCCCTGGGCAGCTCGGTGGGTGGCAGCGGGGCGGGGGGCGCGGGGAGGGGGCTGCGGCAGGAAGGCAAAGCGCCCACACATCGCACCGCACCCCCACCGCGCTGCGGCAACTCACGGGTCTGTTTGCAAACATGCCCCCCGCCAACAGCGAGAAAAACACGAGCATTCAAAGTTCTGACCCTAATTAAAGCCCGGCTCGTTAAAGACTTCACACAATGCAGGAAAAAGTTTGTCCGAGCCTGAATTCCGCGAGCGGTTATTACCTTTGCTTTTAAAGAGGGGAAATAACCGTAACGTGCGCGCCATTATTCTTGTGGATATGCAATTTAAAATCATCGCCAATTGTCATAAAAACCATTTCACAATGTTTGGCTAAGTAATAACTTAGTCATTTAAAGGTGGTTTTCCGGGCGACACGGACATGCAATTCAAGAAAGATTTACATTGCTTACGGGGTTTGCACCGCCGTTCTGACCGCAGCGGGAACGGGACTCAGTCTAATTTTTTTCTTTCTGATTTTGCACGGAACACCAAGACGAGAGCAGACTGTGGGAGAAAGCGTGAATGGGATGAGCGTGTCTCGGAAATAAAAGCTGATGATAAAAAATAAAGTTTATGAAACGGACGGATTTGGAAAGAAGAGTCCTCGAAAAAAAAAAGAGAGGGAGAAAGAAAAGAAAGAAAGAAAAGAATGAAAAAGGAAAATCAAGTTTGCTCCACCCAGCTATTAACCAAAACACAATACCTTTTTCTGGGTGGTACTGCACAGAAGTTGATTCAGTTTTGACAATGTTGTTTAGCTATCATTTGCTATTTTGAATGAATGGGAGCAATCCCCCTTTTTACAACAGTTGTTTCCTATTATGGAGAGGTGCAGCAGTTGAGGGCAGACATGTGAAAGTGGCTGTTTGATTCCCTTTTTCATCCCCCTGACCCTGCCTTTGTCCCTCCTCACCCTGGGAATGTCACGCCTCACTACTTCACTTTGAGATGCTCTAGAAAGTGGCTTTGTTATTCCCTTTTAGACATACACGAAATTGTTCTCATTCCCCCTGCTGTAAAAGATACTTCAAATTGGGACTCGGTTCACAAGTGCAATGCAATTTGGCTTAGCTCAACCTTTGTTCTGCTTGTACAAATGACCAAACAGTGCACACATTATACAGTTGATCTACTGCTCCCTTTACACCAGAGTTAGCGGCTGGGAGAAAAGCAAGTTAATCCCTTCAATACTAAGGTGGCATTTTCAATATTTCCTACAATGCGAGAAGGAGAAGAGAGGGCAGCTTGAAATGCGACATTTGTTTAAAAGGGAAGATTAAAAAGAAAAAGTTTGCGAGGCCTCCCCTGTTACTTCTCCAAATAAATAAATAAACAAACCAACAAGTCCCAAACGTGTAGATAAATATTCCAGCGCCTCCGGGAAGGCAAGTTTACCACAAAGACAGGCTCTCAGGGCAGTAACGTCGAGACTCGAGCTGGAATCCGCGTCAACAGCGCAGTACTTAACACAGCGCTGGGGACTCACCGCTGCTGCGGGGCCCGAGCCCGCGGCCCGGGCACACCTGTATGGCCCGGGCACACCTGTATGGCCCCGAGTACACCTGTACGGCCCGGGCACACCTGTATGGCCCCG